ATAAAGGGGGACTTTTAGCCATGGATCAGCCTCTGCTTTTAAACATTATCACTCAAGACAAGCCATCATCAGTTAAAGATTCAACTTCAGGCAGGCAGCCCTGCTGTAAAGGAAATGCAAAGCTCTGCAGCCAAACCAAGCAAATTACATGTAAGGAAAATTATTATGCAATACATGAATGAATAAAAGGTTTCTTAACATTAACAAAACATTTACTTTTGCTCTGCACGTTTCTGCATAATATAACGTCAACTTGGCAACCTGTAAACCAAATTTTGCTGCGTCTTTCTGAGTTGTTCCGACTTGAGGGGGCACTCATGTCAATTTTCCCAGCGGGGAACAAATTTTTCCAATTATTCAGACACCACATGAATAGTTTTGTTTGTGTGTGAGTGTGTCTGTTTGTGTTCACACCAAAATACTTCCAAATGGATTCACAGACTTCACAGAAAGACACACACACATGCACACACAAACATAATTTTTCCACATCGTGTTTCATAACTCATGAACCAGTTGTCGCAGAACGGCATCATCAAGTGTTTGTGAGGCTGCTTGAATGTACATGGTCGCAGCTATTGCAGATTCAAGCTTGTTTCTTTGTAATTTCTAAACTATGAGTCAGATAAAAAATCATTTTACCTTTTCAGACATTGCTATGTCAGATTCAACAATTGATGAATGAATCCCTCCACAAAATGCTGAATTTATCACTAACTTGCATAATCAGAAGTTGCATCCTTACAGAATTTACAGTATGCTCTGCAGGCAGGCATTAGTTACACCCATATATCTTCATTTTGTATTCAATTTCCCAAGATGTCTAAACTAACCAAATACCTCAACCTGGATAACAGGGATGTCTATGTAAAATTGTGCATAAGACAACGGGCAGGTTCCATTTTATGCATTGGTGTAGCCATGTACTGTAACACTTCAAACAATAGGGATTAGGAGGTTAACAGGATCTTTGTTCCTGCAGCTGGCTGATTTATTGCAACAGGTATACTTCATTACAACAGGTACTCGATTAGGTCACTCTATTCTATGTCCACTCCACTTTTTTTGACCCCCCTGCAAATTGCCCACTGTCCTCACCTCCCTAACCCCGTCCCTCTGCAGATTTATTTGTATACCAATCTCTTTATGTATTCATTCCACACACCCTCCACCCCTCTGTCTATTTCTCCATTACTTCTCTCCCTTTTTCAACCTGCTTCTAAATCTTCATCCTCAGCCCTCCTTCCCTTCTCTGCCTCTACTGCTGTCAGCTGCTGTCACGTTATCTTCTTGTCCCAGCCTTCGCTGCTGCCTTTCACCTTGTCCACTGCCCAAGGGACCACTGGATGGATGGATGGATGGATGGATATTGGGATGAAGGAATGAAGAAAAGGGCAAGAGGAAAGAAAGATGGCTGAAAACTTCTTGCAGGCACAGAGCAGACTGCTATCACATTTCCGCACCCCTGCACATAGCTTTGTGTCTACATATGTAAATTTCATGACTGCAGTTCAGGAACAAATGTGAAGGTGACTGTGTCATTACATAGCTGTCATACAGCATTTACAGAAACAATGTTGACACTGAAATCAATGGAAATAACCACATTTCCATTTCAGGCGGAGACACACTTTGTTGCCTTAACAGTAACACTGCCTCTGATATAACTGGGTTTTCGATATGTAGATTTTTCTGCATTTTGTGGTGAGTTTTCATGGCTGGGAACAGTGTGACCAAAAATCTCATTGGACACATTTTCCAGTACTTTTTGTGGAGATAAGTAGGCAGATGATCACAAATTAAACCCAGTGCAGGCTTAAGGCTTTAAGTGGGGAATCACACTTTGGATGTGAGACTTTAAGAGTCTCCAGAGAGGGTTAGACAGTCCTCGTAATTGCTTGATAATACTAATACACGACTGTATGGAAAGAGACACACTGGAGCAGCATGAGATCATGTTTAAAGCCTCAAAGAGCATCAATCGCCTCTTCCAACTCTTTTTCAGTGCGGCCGAGTGCATTGGCATTATATTTGTGTCCACGCTTGCGTATATTTGTATACACATGTGTATGCCCACACGAGTGTGCATGAGGTGATTTAGCAGCGGGGCTGTAGCTCTCCCCGAGGGGGGCAGATAGAGAGACGAAATCAAAGGGCCCAACGAGAGAGAAGCCGAGCTGCTCTTAACCCACTAACTATGAATTATGCATGTTGATCGATCACACACAGGCAAACAACGAAAAGTTCCCAACCCGCCAGAGTGAGATGGATTCTACTTCACCAAATGAAGCAGAGAGGAGGTGAGGAGAAGGAGTATGACATGGAGGTTGCTTAGGGATATTTTAGGTAGTTTTTCAGAGAATGTAAACAAGCCAGAAAAGATGAGATGGCCGGGTGGTGATGGTTATTTCATTACATCTATAATCTTATGTAATCTAAAACAACACTGTATTTGTTGTGGCTTTATTTTGTTGGAAAAAAAATCACTTGCAAATGGTTATAGAAAACAAAATAAAAGAATATTCCGCACAGCTATTTTAATAAGCAAATAGGAACTTATGATACACCTTGGTTTCTGCCAGGAACATTTTAAGCCCTTCGTCAGTGATCAAAGACGGGCAAACTCAAGTTGGCGGTCCCTGTCACTTACGGAAATCATACAGGTGACTCTGATCAACACAATGACAAAACCTTTCCATGAAATGTTATAGATAAAAAGGAGGATTTAAACACTGAGAAACATTTCCTATAAATTGAGTGGTTAAACTTAATTGCGCGGATGAATAAACATAAGGAATCCTTCATGTTTTTCGGATAAAAGGAATAAGGAAGTGCCCCAGTAAACCCCAGAAGTTCATGGAAATATCTAATGGTGTCGGCACTACATGCTTAGATGGTATAAATGCATGCTGAGAAAGAGCTCTGCGCAAAATCTGTGTTACAAATATAAAGGAAGTCACAGTGTCCAGATCCTATTTTTTTGGACTGACATTTTTAAGATTTACTACCAGTACAGTTCAAGACAACACAAGACTTCAAGACTACAGTGTTTTGGTTTGTACATGTTACTTATATGTCATCATCATTTAAGACTGTTGAAAATGGTTTTAAGTTTTTATCTGCATCTTGATCTGGACCTTGCCGTAATCCCAGAATAACACAAAGCATCTAAAGTGAATCTGCAGTGTTGCCCTGAGCTCAGGGGTTTTTGTGTGTAATTATTTCACTTGAATTCTCCTGAAGAGCCAGACTATCCAGCAACAGCGACAGGAAATATCTTTTCTGAACTTTTCTTTTACCTCAGCAATTATTTTCTCCTCTACTACTGTGATAGCTACAAGACCACGGAAGATAAGGTGCTGCAGCCCAATGAGAAGAGGTCAAGGTAGAGGAGCCAAGACGAGTTGGAAAAAATGTCTTTTCACAGTTGTTGAAAGCATCGTTGTGCTGCTTTGTGTGTTGGTTTACTTACAAGATAATGGACTTGGCTGTTGCAAGTGTATTTTGGGGTTTATGATGCTGTGCTATTTTTGTCTGGAGGTGTAGCTTTAACATTCAACACAAGTTCAATGCTATTATGAAAAGAATGTACTATTGTATTGGAGACATTACTTGTATAAATGTGTTTCCAAACGCACTCAAGCTTGCATGGTTTCTTACTTCACATTTACATTGATAAATTCATTCACACGGTACAAACCACCAGACTAGACAGAGCAAAAACACCCCAAAATACTCTTCTCTACATCCCTTCCATGTACTGTAGAAACAAAAGACACAATCTCTTGTCTTGCCTCAGGACACACAGGACTCTAATTTAACACTGAGAGCTGCTGCACCATGGCTTTGATCGTATTAACTACACCCTGGCAAACACTATTATATGTGCTTTGCTTACTCACTATACGATGTTAACACGAGATGCATGTACACTCGCATACCATGCATACACAGACATATCTCACACAGACAAACATGAATTCAGTTGAAGAGCAAACCCCTGAATGTACACTGATTACCTCTGTGACTGTGAGAGGAAAACAAGTACTTTTCTTAGTGATGAAAGAGGATGGGTTCATGCAGAAAATCCAGTCAAATACTATTTAAGTGATGAAACTTTTCTGCTGTATATCCACCACACTGTTATCAGCTCCTATAAAGATTTGGCTTCTTTTATAAGCACAGTAACATGTCAAAAAATATTCAGGATATTCAATGATATGTCACATATAAACACCACCTTTGTTATGTTCAAAATAGAACCACAAGTAAGAATTTTATTACCTTAAAATGTCTGATCTTTTAAAACGTATTTAGTTTAGTCTATAACTAGAATTACCGCCTATCTCCGTCAACTAGTCAAGTTAGAGTTACAGTTTACATCCATGTCTTTCCAGACTGATGTAATATATGTAGTGGTAGACTTTGAAGGAATTTAATAAAATATATTATTATTATTAGAATATATAATAGTGTATTTTTGGTGAAACATGGATGTGTCACACTCATCTTCAGCCCAGCAGCATACACTGTAAAACCCGATAAGTTAATTCAACTCAAAGAAATTGTTGTAACTGATTACATAAAAATTTTTAAGTGACACTTACTCAATATTGTAAGTCAAATAAACATATTTGGTGAAGTACTTTTTACTAGGTAATTTTAAGTGAAACTTACCACATTTTTTAAGTTTAAAAAACTCTCCTTAATTTTGTTATTTCTACTCAGTATTTTTGTTTTCAGAGTACTAATTAAAATTAAGTAGAAATAACTAAAACATATTTGTTACATTTAACAAAACATTTAATTTCTTAGCAAGACATTGCTCACTTTAAATTAACTTAACCTATTTAAGTTAAATTTACTTAAATATTTCACTTAGTTCTAACTTAAAATTTCATGTTAAGGAACGTGAAACTTATTACATAAATTGTATTAAGTAGCTTTGACTACAAAATACAAACATACTTTGAGTAAACATTAAAAACAGATTAAAATAATTTAAATACAAGTTACTCTTTTATTAAGTAACAGCAAGTAACAGCAAAGTAACAGTGCAAGTGCCTTTTGAAAATGGCAAGAGGATTATCACCTCTAGAAGTGGACAATAAATTCCTTTCACGGTACAGGTAAGTTTTATCATGATACTGATATACATCATGAAAATTTTTAAAACAAAAATCTTCCAATATTGTCATGACCATTATGTATATAAAAATAAAAGGAATTGCAAGCTTGTGAACATGGCAATATATCTGATCATTAACTGTCACCGTATAAAGGATATCTCCAACCCTATTAACTTCCATACAGTACAAACACTCCAACAGTAACATCAAAAATACAGTACTGGTAGTACTTAAGTAAAACAGTGCAAAGGCCTAAGGAAATGGTGGAAGAAAGAACCACCACATTTATGAGTGGACAAACACATATGTGATCTTACAAATACACAATTTTTCTGGGTGGGGGAAAAAAATCAATCAAGAAAACTGTTTACTGATAAAATACACAGTAATATCTGTTTGGTTACTTAAAAAATTTGAAGAGCTTATAATCGCTACAATCATTAAAATCCAATATCATCATAAACAGTTCTGTTCATTTTTTGGGGAGTTTTTCCTTATCCACTGTGAGGGTCTTAAGGACAGAGGGATGTCGTATGCTGTAAAGCCCTGTGAGGCAAATTGTGATTTGTGATATTGGGCTTTATAAATAAAATTGAATTGAATTGAATTGAATTGAATTGATCATCCCTCATACATTAACGACACCACAGAAATGGCTACAGCAGTACAAACAGTATAGCAAAATGAACGCCCTACTAAGAAGCTACTTGTTTTACATTACTTCCAAAACATAAAATATTTTCCAGGAAAAAAAAAAAAAAAGAAGGTTTGTACTGCTGTAGCCATTTCTGTTATACACATATAGTACAAACACTAGATCAGAAATCACTTTTGAACAGTAACACATTCAAAATTGTTTGTACTACTATTGATGGGGACAACACCAGCTGCATAATGTCTTTCAGGTCCATCAATTGTGTTTGTTTTACATTACTGTCAAAACACATTTCAGTTATGTTTTTGAAAAGATATTTGTACTTGCTGTAGCTATTTCAGTTTTACATATCCAGAGTACAAACACTACATCAAACATTACTTTTGAACAGTAACACATTCAAAATTCACTGAGAATACTGTCGAAACAGATCTCTAAAGAGGTTTTCAAAAAAGAAAAAAAAAAGTGTATCATGTGCATCCTGTGCAAGTGTATCAAGTAAAGGAGCAACCATGTTTTTGTTTGTCCATACACTTGACATTACTCCACTGCCAAAATGGCATTTTTAAGGCTCAACACCCTAGGCTTCAGCTTCCCATCCTCCAGGCCCATCAAGACTTTCTGGGTAAAGTCAAATGTATTGGCCAAGGCTTTTGGGTAACTTAGATGCAGCGCATAAATCAGTGCAAAAAGCATGACGAATGCGTCAGCGAATGTGGGGAGATCAATAACCATGTTACCCTCAAGCACGACTGCAATCCTCTCTGGGCAGAAGAATGTGGCATCTGTTGAATTGGCACTGATCAAGAGGAGCCCAACTGGTACGTTGTCGATGTTTGGTTCGTCAGACTGTGACATCTGCAGACAAGAACAGAGATGTTACCTGTAACCCCAAACTGCCTCAGCTATTTCCCAAAGATACTTGCAGCAAATACATCATTGTTATGGACAAATAGCAGCCAAGAATGGACTTTTCCCTTTTCTGCAATATCTCTTTCCAGAAATCATGACCCACTTACTCAAGATAGTCCACAGACCTTGTTGCAAGCAGTTTCATGTAAGCGGCACTATTTTCTTTCAACCGAACTACACAAAATTGCTAGCATTCTAGCAATTCAAGCTCTGTGGATTATCTTGAGTAACCAGGTCATGCTTTCTGGAAAGAAACATATCCTCTGAGTTTTTCAAATGTACTTGTGTAATATTCAAATACTGAAATTTTTAAATAACTAAAAAAAATCCCACTGATTTTCTAGATTCGAGTAACAGAAAAAATTTAACTCTTTGACCAAAAATAATATACGGACTTACATCCCATTGCTTCAGAAATCCGGAGTTGTCCTCATGCAAATATGCAGGGAGAGCACGGAGGACAGCAGCACGTCTGACATGGATGTCAACTTGTTCCTTGGGTGTGAAAACATATAATTGCTTTATTATGGCTGGTAGACAGCCTAGCCACACAACACTGTAATATAACAAAGAGCCCTCCTATGTCTTTAGAGGTCAGAGTCCTACCAAATAACAAAACTCTACTGTAGCATCATTATCAAGCACCAAGAAGCTTACACAACTTACCTGGAGGTCATAAATCCTGAAAATCTCACTGAGGACTTCTGCTATTTTTCCTGTGCGTGCAGCTTTCTTCCTGAACAAGCTCAGAAAACGGGGAGCATGTTGATCCAACTCAGCATAGAAGCTGTTCTTCAGGTTGATGTTTGAGATTCTGTGAAACTCTGCACAGATCTGTAAAAAAATAAAATGACTGTTTAACTCAGAGTGTAGTATGTATCCTTTCTGAGAAGAAAAAGTAAGACACATGGCAATCGAAACTGCCACACTAATGCCTGTAAACTGACATACTATAACCACTTGTTAGCTTTTGGAGAAAAATTAATCTACATTAGAGTAAGACTGTTTAAGTTCTCACCGACACAGCCACACAAAAGAATTATATTTAATACATCTACTCAAATGTGTGTCATAAGAAACATATATTACCTGTGACTCAATTTTGAGGGCAGGCCAGCATTCCAGGATCTCATCGACAGGTGACTCATCACTGATGACCTCTTTGCGCCGCAGGGCAAAGGTGGTCTGCATCAACTTTCCAATCAGGAAAAGGTTCTTGTCACTCATCTTCACTTCATCCACAATTTGGAGTCTCAATTGTTCAAGGCTTGCAGAATCTTGACCTCTTGGGAAATTAGGGAGGAAATTCACCTCTGCCCTCTTTGGTCTTTTGATGTTAGCATGGGGACATTGTCTGTCTGGGTTGTTTCTGCTCCTTTTCCCAGAATTCACAGCTACCTCAAAAATCCCTGCACGACTCAACTTACTGCGGTAGTTTCCCATTTTAAACTTCAGACTATTTTTCCAACCATACCATCCTGTCTGAGATCCTGGCTCTTTAAGACAGGGATGCTTGGTGACAAGTGCTTCTGCTACCACTGACAAGTGCTTATCCTCAGGGTATGCTGTGAAGCTATGCATTTTGTTAGCAAGGGTCTCAAGAATGTCATGCTTTTGTCCCTTAGATAACCTAAGAGTTCTCCCTGTTCTCTCATATGTAGCATTTCCTTCACCAAGTGAGAATTCTACGTCATGAGAAAAAGTCGGCACTGGAAATACATAAGGCCATCTTTCAGTCCTGCCTGGAGTCATGGCATGAGGCAATATTATTGTGTCGTCTGATGCTACTGAACTGGCATCACTCTCGGACCTGATCACTTTCAGTACAGCCTTCTGTGGAAGTTCTTCAATATCTACAAGTGAACATAACTGCCTATCAAAATCTGGATCTTCGTATGCTAGGCTAAAGTCACTGTCTAGCCTAAACTTTTCTTTCATCATAATTTTTAGCTCATCCACAGATTCTGGACGTGAACTTAAAGTCATCTTTCTGACAATGTCTGGGGAGGTATGGACATGAAGAAGGAAGTTTTGAGCTGCCATTTCCTATCATTAAGAAGGAAAAGAGAGACAAAATTCATTAATGAGAACCATTTGGCTGGACAATGCACAATCAGGATTTTGCAAAAGAATTGCCAACAATTTCCTTCATATTTCAGTTTTCAATGAAAATCATTGGTTATGATTGGTGCCAGTCATTTTAAGGAGATGGCACTGTTTCAAGGGACTGTATAATAGAGCTGAGCAATGTAAGGATATCATGATATGAGATGGTCATATGGTGATATGGCACAAGTTTTGTCATTTCCTGATTTTAAAGGCTGCATTACAATAAAGTAATGTTATTTTTTTTAACTTACCATACTGATCTAGCTGTTCTATTATTTGCCTGTACCAACTTAAGTCATTATATCCTCATTACTGATAATTATTTATCAAAACTCATTGTGTAAATATTTTGTGAAAGCACAAACAATCATCCCTACAATATTGTTGAAATATTAATAGGTGTATTTGGTCAAAATATCTTGATATTGTCCATATTGCCCAGCACTACGGCACAGGTCCCTGCTTCTAAAAACATGTTAATGCTGCAAGTCTCTGATCAAAATAAATCTTTTTTGCGTCAACATCAAATGCCCATCAATAATGTATCCTGTGAGGCTTACTGTGTCATTTAAGTCTGCCAGCTGATGCACAAGGAAGTTGCCTGTAGATGTCAGCTCAAATGATCTTAAATGCTCAATGTACCAGCACTCATAGTCCCTGCAAAGAAAAGACACAGAGTTGTTAACAAGCAATACATGTTCAATTCTGCTGAATTTTGGAAGTCCTCCAGTCTGGCCTGCAGAAACAAACATTCCTTCTGCAAACTCTGTGCCATTTATGGAGACCTTTGATGTACTGTATATGTTTTGGCTATCTGTCTTTGTCTGTATGAAGTCTCTGGCCACTTGTGGCAGTGTTTCGACTTGGACCGAGGTGACACTTGAGGCTTGTGTGTGGGGTCTGAAAAAAGATGGGGCATTGAGGTGATATGCCATCATATGCTGATGCCTGGTAGCAAGAGTTTTCAAGACATTCTTGAAATTCTGTGTGTCATGTATTACCCTTTTGAAAAAGCGATGTTTTCCCTCGAACCTCATGGTCCACAGGTTAACAAGTGGCCAAAACGCCGTGTCAGTTCTGGGTAATGCTCAATGTAATGATGTTTGGGTCTGAGCTTAAAGTCTGGAAATACTGCTTGAAGACCCTGTCTGTGATCACTTATTTTAGTCTGCATGTACTGGATGGATTCCTCTGTGAAAGATGGGGACAACACCAGCTGCACAATGTCTTTTAGGTCCATCAATATGGCCCATGTTTCATCTCCTTCAGGAACTTTACTTCCTACCATGAGAGGCAATAACCTCAGCAGAGTGGAATTTTCATGCCCATTCCCGCCAATGCTTAATTTGGCAGCAAAAGTTTTTGGGATTGGTTGTGGTTTGTCAAGCCTATCAGAGTGCTGATATGGAAATGTGCGAATCTTTGTGTTTAGATAGTCAAGTGTGAAGTACTTAAGACGTATCATCTCACGGATGCACAAGGCCAACTCCACTGGCACAATACCCTCAAAAAGGTCGTGAAGTATATCAGGCAGGAAACCAGAAATCGGATGAAAATGCTGCAGTGTCTTGCTGAGAGCGCACTCACCCTTAACGCCAAAATGAGACACATTTTCTCCTTGCACAACATTCTGCACATGAAGATCATGGCAGGTCCTTGTTCTCATGGAAAACTCTCCTTCAGAAACTTCTTTGGACTGTATCTGAGCTGCAGTACAGACACAAAATCTGCAGATGTAGTCTCCTCTGAAGCACTGTACAAAGCCTGCAAGACCATGAGCAGCCAAATTATCGGCTGCAACACACATGACAGTGCCTTTTACACATTGGCTGACAGGTTCAATAAAGATGCCATCCTGCTCAAGAGTTCTCAAATCTTTCAACAAAGGTGAAAGAACACTTTCAAAACCACAACTCTGCAAATCAGGTACTTTGCACAGCAGAGCTAGCTGTATGACATGAAGGCTGGACCTATACATACTGGGTACATTGGCTAGCAACCAGTATACTGCACAAAGCTTGCGGATCTTTCTAGATGTGCCTAAAGGATTATCTAGCTCAGTGTCATCCACATACAAAATCAGTGACAACTTCAATTCTCCTGTTGACAACAATGGATTTTCTTGGAAATATGTTCCATCTTCATGAGACGTGTACATTCCAGGTGGTGATGGTTTAGCTTCTTGAATCTTGTCAAGAAGATCTGTATTTTTAAACATTGTTTGAAGCATATGTAGTACTGGAACATACACTGCTGTGTGCCCAGTGGAATCCACAGCATACTGTACTGGCATTACCAGAGGGTAGTTACTCCTTACAAATGCTTTCCTCCGCTTAGCAGTGGACAACTCTGCACCCTCAACAGTAGCGCTGACAAAAACATTACTTTTCATGACAGCTTCCACAATTTCATTAAGAAGAGCATCATTTATAGACTGACTATGCTCTCCTAACACCTTGATGATTGAGTCTCTCATAAGGGGTTTGGACAATGTGAATATTTGTGCCAAATTTTCAACTATGTCTTGTATCGCCATCTCTGATACATGCAGAACACTGTGCATTTTCAAGAACAAAGAAGCCAAGTTGTTTCTCAGTTGAGCTTGCAATTCACCACTGTCAACTCCAGACCCAGGAGAATTACACTCTGGAGCATCCAGCTCAAGAAAAGAGGGACCAGCTTCATCAGATTCATCTTGGCTCTGAACTGGTTGGCAATCAGTTTCTGTTAAGACAATCTCAGTCTTAAAAGCTGAGACTTCACAGTCTGGATGAGTCCTACTTTTGTGAGCATTAAAGGAGGAATACACATTAGTACGGTAGTGACAATTTTTGAATGGACAATCCACCATCTCGTTCTGTTTTAAATGTGTCCTTAAATGACTGAGAAGAGTTTTGTCATTAAAAGGTTGTTTGATCTTACACACAGTACAGACAAATGACACACATCCCACCAGACTGTCACTTTGCACTACTGTCTGAGTATGTAACCGGGTTAAGTGAGTTTTCAATGCATTTAATGAATGAAATGTGCAGACACAGTCATCATAGAGACAAGGCAATGGACTGACTGAGGAGAAATTGCTATGATGCAAACGATAGTGTTCAAGCAGCTGTGTCCTTTTATCAAAGACAGCAGCACAAAGTTTGCACCTCCAAGCCATTGCAAAACCAAAATTCCCCCAAAATTTACGACTCTAACATACAGAATGAAAACAGGGTGAAGTTTTACATGACATTATGTTCAGTAGACATACCAGATTGAAGGCCCTGTTGCTTCAGTTTCAGCCTGCACAGAGAAAGAGAGAGAGACAGAGAGAGAAAGAGAGAGAATTAAAAGTTAGACAGGCTGCAACCTTTATAATGTAATGAAATCTTTTTGTATCAATATCATTGAACATTTATCAGTTACTTAACATTACAGGCATTGCATGAAATACAGTGATGTTTCAGACTGTAATACACAAAATCCAAGCACAAAAAAACTGTTCATTTGGGTGAAGGGGGCTGTCTAAAACAATTAACATATTTATTTTCTATTTCTTTGTACTGTAGGGTTTACTTGCATGTTGACATGTTACAAAGTGAGGAGCAACATAGAATTAACAGTCAGCAGGTTAATGTATATCTTACTGATGCCTTGCTTGCATAAAGGCTTTGCTGAGTGTAACTGTGCAAACGTTTTAACAGGCTACTTAATACTTTTAAACACTGGCAGTGTAAAAATCTTTAATTATCCATAACAAATACATATCGTCAAAACAGTCCTTACACCACTAAACATAAAAGAAATAAAAGCTTGCAGCAAGTAAATAAGGACCTGGGATTTCTTTTTCTTTAGCACATCACTGATTTTCAGTTGTTTTCAATAACACTTAGGTTACCGCGCACAGACCGTGGACACTGGACCTTGGCCGTGATCGCGATGGGATTATTTCACACAAAAAAATACAGGCTTTAATTTGATTATTAGCTCACCTAACAAAAACACACTACACATGGAACAATGTTATAGCATTAAATTAAGGTAAAACTTCGATGCCAACCATTAAATTTCAGTGACTGAACATGCATGCTAAGTAAAAATGTTGTCAGATGCCACTGTTTAATGGTTGAAAAAGTTTAAAGTATGCACAATTAATGAAAGATAACGTTAATACAAACTGTCCACTTCAGTGGAGGAACAAATTAAAATAACGTTACTGGTTTCAACTTTTGAATTTTTTTCCACTTTCACTGAGGCAGTTCCTATGTTTAACGTTAACAGACACGTTTTTTCAAGTGCTTAAACTAAGTTTGAACTGAGACAAATGCATTTAATGAACAAAGTAATTCAACGCAAATTATGAAATGCAAACCAAGAAGTAACTCACCAAAGGACGACCAAGGACAACATAAGAATAATGGCGGTCAGCACTATCAGCACGGCGGCAGAAAAGAACGGCGGGTCAGGTCCGTCAGGTCGGGCGGTTTGCTGCAAGTTCCGCAAGCGCGAGTGGCAGTAATGGCGGACAAACTTCCAGTTTGGCCGGAGAGGCACGTCGAAGCACGTACGGACGTACGTGACGTCATCACGTGGATTAAGAGTTGCTGTCAGATGATTTGAGTACAATACATCATAATCATCAAAGTAGTAAATGACTGTAAACTTAAAACTGGAAATTTGTTTAAATGACTCAGCCCGTTTGTGCTGAAATAGTTGGTTTTTAAATTATGAGTTAATACATCTCATCTTTTTTAACCAGCTTTTACTGTTCGGTCTTACAGTGTAGAGGATGTATACCATCAACACAGTTTAAAGATGTACACATAATATTAGTGCCATCAATTCAGTATCTGACCAAATGTGAAGTATGTAGAGGCAGGGTGAGGGTTTCTAGCACAACTTCATCTACTTCCAAGGTGCATGTATACGGAGTATAAGATGTATACTGTGTTGTTGAAGTTTCAAACCCAAAAATGAAATATGGTCAAAATCTCCTCTTCTATTCCTGAGTTATAATGTTGAATAATGCCCAAAGTAAGCAATTTTGCAGAAAACAGTGAAAATGACCTTTTGTATATGAAATGTCATCACTTATTAGACATTTGTGTAAAATTTTGTCATAATTAGTGAATGAATTCTTGAGTTGTGTGAGGACACAGCGACCTTCATCTTTGACGAACAAAATCTAATCAGTTCATCCTTGAGTTCAAGTGCAAAACTTAAAAAAAACATCTTTCAAGGTGTTCTTGAGATATTGCGTTCACAATAATGGGACATAGGTACACACACAAGGCATACTTGCGTACGTATAGACAACCAGAAAAATATAATGACTGACAGTCAGAGGCATAAAAAAGTGCTTGAATGTGAGTAAGTTGAGTTAACAACAGTTCAAAACCCAAAATAATGAATTTACAATGATGCAAATTAGAGAAAAGTAACTAATCCTCACACTGTCAACCAACTATAGTTTTATTAATTAACTAAATGTTTCAGTGTTGTCAGCTGTAGCTTAAGCTACTTTTTTCAACAAACCGCAGCAAAGCACTTGGAACTGTTATTATATTTTCAAATATTCTGACACATGCAAACGTGTTTCACTTACTGTTGTCCAGGGCTGTACTGTATCAAAACCTGAATTTTCCAAGTCAGCTCCGAGTTGCCAGTTTTGGCAAATATCTTAATTATTTTTCTTATTATTCATTTTGAAAGCAGGATACTCAACATTATGCTTCTTCAAATTTATGATTAAACACCTTCAAAACTAATGACATTACTATCATCCTCTGCTGTACTTAGTATCTGGTGCTTATTAGCAAATGTTCGCATGCTACCATGAGGAACTAAGATGGTGAACAAGGTAATATAACACCAATACAACACTTGATAAACACCAGCATGTTGGCGTAGGGATTTATTCTTTAATTAAATCACCTTCCACATCTAAATGACTGGGTGCATGTACCATATATGCGGCCATGTCCTCACACTGACCTTTCAGATGTGCTCCCTTTTGGGAAACACAACTCTGGTCCACAGGTCACAAAGTGCTAAGAGGTCATTACGGTGTCTGCATCATATCCTCCAGGGCCAGACAGTAAAAGTACTGGCCCTTTGTCCGAGTTGGCCTCGAGGTAATGGCCGCCTCAAGAGAAATGAGAAACCACCATCAGGCTGCCATTGAAGTGACATGGTAATAGGACCACCATTAACGTCTCAAGGGTGTTACCCAGAGGTGAGAGCAAGAACAAGCCGCTAGTTGTGAAGGTGCGAGAGAAGAGTGACAAAAGAGTGGAGCTGAATATGCAGCACACACACAATAATGCAACAGGTGTTAATGTGTATGTTTTTTTTTTTTCTTTTTGCAGGACTCACTTGAATGCAGGTAGTCTGATGATTCATCACATTCATGACAATAGAGAGTGGTAATTGAATTGAGAGAGACACAGCAGAGGAACTGTGTAAGGAAGGGAAACTAACAGAGATTAGTATCCGCTGAAAAGGAAAGCAGTACTATATTTGTCTGCATACTTCTCAGTCACCGGGACACAGACGGACTGCCACCGCCTGCGTCCCCTCCACTGTCACTGAATGACATTGTGAAAGTTGGCAGGTTTGGTGCAGAGCCGGGAGAGGAGTCAAAATAGATAAAGTTTAATGAGAGGGAAGAGAAAAACAGGCGGACTCCCCAGGCAGCTGAGCAGAGAGTGCTGAGCAATCACTCACGCACAAAAACACATTGTTGTTTATATAAACAAATCTCAACTTTACCAATCAATTGCAGCTTCCACACGAGTAATGAGAGCTTTTGAATGCCAAGCAGGTGGCAGCATAACTTAAACGCTGTCAGATGAAAACCTGGCATCTCTGTAAAGTCAGTGTTTAACGATCAACTACAAACAGCTTTATGCTTTGACTGAACAGCATGTCATACTCTGAATTTCTGAAACACTATGAGTTAATGGAAATAAGCTAGAGGGCTAAATGTGCAAAATGGTAGACTCATTCAATCACACAGTTACACACAATCACACCTGGAAGCTGCCAAGGACAGGCACAGTCTAGTCTGATACACTGAGCAGCTCCAACAGAGCAGGTTTAGGGGGGCCTTAGCTGTGATGATGAGGAAGGGATGGTTGCTATGTTTCATTTTTTAAGACCTGCCAAAACACACAGAGGACACAAACTCAACACACCTCTGTTTTATCCCTCTTTCACTTGATGACTTTTGTACCAACCCACATATATGTTACCATAGCTACTATATTTAGGATAATCATAAATAGATTGTAATATGGTTTGCTCGAGGGATCGTTTCCTTGATGAATCAGCAGATGGAGGTAAATCTCATGGTGCTTTAGCCTCTGAATTCATGCTAAAATCCCACATCTTACTATATCTTACTATATAATGACGAAAACTCTGTGCGTGGGTGTGTCTGTGTGTCTGTTCCACGTTGTTCTCCTCACTGACTTGATCAATCCATGTGAAATTTGGCACAGTGGAAGAGGGTCATGGGAGGATGCAAATTAAGCAATATTACATCAATTAGCCAAAGGGGGGCGCTATAGCAACTGATTGAAATTGCAAACTTTGAATGGGCATATCTCATGCCCTGTATGTTGTAGAGACATGAAACTTTGCACAGAGATGCCTCTCCTCAAGAACCTGTAACTTCTGCTTATATAGATTTTCAGGCATTTTGAATTTATTGAAAAACACTTAAAATCGATCTCTTCCTAGAAGGTTGACCGATCTGCATGAAACTCAGTAAACATAATCTAGGGACCAATATCTAAAGTTCCCTCTTGGCAAAAGTTGGAAAACTTACTAAAACTGAGCTTCTATAAGGCAATGAATATTGCAGAGGGCGTGGCTCATCACAAAAAGGTGTATAACATCTCAAGGGTTTCACCGATCACCACGCAACTTTGTAGGCATATGACCACACATAATCTGAGGGGACCCCTCCATTATTGACCCAGTCAAACAAAATGGGGGCGCTAGAGAGCTAATTTCTTATCTAGGCCTAACCGCCATATCGAATTTTACTAAACTTGGTAGATATGTAGAACAGGACGCCTCAAGGTGACTGGAGAAATTTAACTCTAATTGGCAACTGGGTGGCGCTATAACAACAGAAAAATGCTTAAAAATGGCTAAAATGCGACCGATCGCTGTGGCTCCCCCTGTGGCTGAATGTTTGTTTTTTCTTTCTAATTTTTGGTATGACTAAGTCATGGTGTGGTATGCTGTACATAATCACGGAAACTGCCAGTCAGTCATTCTGTCTGTCCCACGTTTTTCTACTCACTGACATGGTCAATCTATGTGAAACTGCACATAGGCATTGAGGATTGGCATAGATAGAAGGTGACAAAGCTACCAATGGGTATGGACTAGTCTAATATGATTGTTCTTTTATCTGTTCATACCACAAACAAAGACCAGAGTTTACTCAGAGACTACTAGGCATTGGTACTTGATACCTTTAAGGTATCGACTGAAACAACCCAGTAACAAGTAGCATCGAAATGTATTCACTCAAATGATACCTGCATTCAGTACTTTTTGTGGGGTCTGATCCCAAACCCTCCTGATTCCTAGCTGATCAGCAAAATTTCTGTTGCAGCTATCTCCAGAGCTGCTATCTTCCTGGTGAATGAAACACTGAAACACTGAGCTGTTTGACCGAACTCACACGGACACAGAAAGGGCTCAGCTCTGACGATAAACACTTTAATAACCGTTGGGTAACTTTAGCCGTGTGATGCTAACAGTTAGCCCTATTTATGTGTTCACAGTCCCCCTGCATCAGCTAGACACTATACAGTTTGTGGTGTGGAAAGTGGAGCGCAATGTATTTGACAAGAGTTGGCAGTTCAGCATACAGAGATGCCACCTATACGTTTAAAATTATGGCTATACTACACACCTCTCCACTCACTGGTATCCATGTCACTTTACTGGTATCTACTCTACTGGTATCCATGTCACTTTACTGGTATCTACTCTACTGGTATCCATGTCACTTTAAGGGTACTGGTATTGGCACTGGTACTGCAATTTTTTAAATGATACCCAGCCCTAATTAAGACCCATCTTACCATGCAGCCCCAGTGTGGTTGTTTGGTCTGCACCAGAGTTTGAATGACAGAGTTTATAACATCTAAACAAACCAAATATATTATGCAAACCAACACAGTTTGTTTGAACCACATCCAGTATCTTAGGTGCGAAAGCCCCGTGAAGTACAGTAAAGAGAAGAGGCAACTCTGCAATCTACATTCCCGTAAATATTTCCACTTCTATCACATATGCTTTGTGCTGTTTTTTCTTTACCTCATCAAGCCTTGCCTCTCTCGATTTATAATAGTATCTTTCCATCACCACTCTGTCCCTTACTCCATTTCCCTGGAGTACTTGCATTCATGTGAATGCGGGCACACACAAATGCATGTGTGCAAAGTGTCAGCAGTGACCACCAGGCAGCATTAATTACGCTGAGCGCAAATGAACTCTCTGTAACTCTCTCTCTCTCTGCTTTTCCACAACATGTACCCTTGTGAAGGTGATCATTTGTGGCGAGCTGGAAAAGGTGAGCAGTCCTTGATGAAATGGATCCATACGCTCACTATCACACCTTAGTAATAGGACTCAGGGGGAAACTGACTGCACAACAAGTAACTGCTTCACATGGGATAGTATGAGAGGAAGTGCAGACTACGTGCTGCATCATCATATCTGGAAAACAGTTTATTCAAGCTTAACTGCGCAAATGGGAGAATCCTTAAGTATGTGTGACAAGGGTCAAGGGATGTAACATGTTATGCCCACCTAGACAGAAGTGCTGAATGGGCTGGTTCCAACCCTGCAGGGTCATTCGTCCAAGGCCACAGAGATCGATAGTGAGGTCATTCATGTTGGAATTACAGCATTTTCTAGAAAGAGTCATTTAATATGATGTATATTTAAAAAACTGTGTTGGTTTTTGGTGGTTTACACTAGCTCATCACAGCACTGAGTACGCAGGGACTTTGCCATAGATCCGAGTTTAGGGAAGTGACATTTCTAACTTATTCATCAATCATCTCAGAGGCTTAATGTAGTGTTATTGCGTATTTAATCTTTGCCGTGATATTCCCTCTGAGATGAATGGGTGCTCACAGGAAGTGCCAGCCCAGATGTACACCCTGAGGACACTTTATGTGAAATGGAGCATATGACTGAGAAAGAAGGTCTTGTCCATTCATACAGTAAATCACCTACACTGCAGCATTTTTAAATACACTACTACATTTCTTTAAGATTTCAAAACTTAAGTATATTCAGAGCTTATTTCCTGTGTTTATGGATGCATCTGTGATATGAGACAAAATATTTGTAGTTTTCCTCTGTGTGTGTGTTTCAGCATTCAAGCTAGTGGGACTGTACTGAGTGACGGTTTATCCTCAGAAAATACAGAGGGGGGATGTAAAGAAGAACTGTGGATATACAGCAAAGACTGTAGTATGTGGAGAAAACAGGACATGACACTTCTGTTACTTATCTGTGGTGAAAGGACTGTCTCTTAAGAGAAAAACACAAACACCATCTTCATGAATCAAGGCCATTCTCACCTCCTCTTATACTCTTTTCCCAAGTGTACACTATGCCTATGGTTTATTCTTTGCGGAAACAACAAAAAAATGAACACATTCAGCAAACTAAGACAGAACAATGGGTAAATACAAGCTGGAAAAAGAGAAGCGGATGAATGAGAAACACATCTGCAAAAGACTATTGTTGCCATTACCAAGACTAAACAGGTACTCCTGTTAAAGTCACAGCCTAAGCACCTAATCTGGGGTGTCAATCACAGCAGCAGGTGTTCCCCAAAACCTGGCTTGTCTGTGTAAACAATGTTGCATGTGACTTTTCAATCTAAAATTAAAAACATTAAAACAGAACACAGTGGTTACTGAAGGCACTGCCAACAGATCTGTACAGACATTCATTGTTGCATTTTTCAGGATGACTTGCCATAATTTGTTTGAAAATTTGTTTTATGCTCAAAAACCTGCAATACTAACACTCATTTCCATTAGCTGCAGCTGTACTTTGTGCAAATATTGGCATGCTAACACACCTATTAAAATGAACTTGCTAACCATTGAACCTACTAAACATCAGCATGTTACTCTCACTGTGAGCATGTTGGCATGCTGACACCAAAGCTCAAAGCACTGCCAGGGTTAAGTGGGTCAGAAATTTACTTGCCTGAAGTAAATTTTTACTTGCACGTATACATATTGTTTTATTGTCATGTTTCACACAGGCAAGAGCAAAGCCACAAAGAAGGAGTTTTAGTTGTCATGCAAGCAAGATGCTCTCAACTCTTATGGCAAGACCCTGTTTTATCTGCCTTGCTCATAAACTTGTGGCAAATTCCACAACACATTTTAAGTTTTAACTACATCCTCTAATACCACCCAGCTAAACTCCTATGTCTAGGTAATTAATATGCCAGCTTGCACTTCAGCTATGCATGTGTAACTCTTAACAGAAATGAGACAGACGAAAGATGGCTCACTCCTTAGCTACTTCCATCATCATCTCCAGAAAAAACAATGTGTCTTGTTCAAGCAACAATGCTAAACATTTCCAAGTTTCAGCTTCTCCATTGTGAGGATTTGCTGCTAATCTGTGGGGACTGATGGTAAACTGAGGGTTCAGACTGTTGGTCAGACAAAGGAAGCAATTAAATTACATTATCTTGAGCTGTTGGCAATCGATGTGGGCATTTTTCATGATGTTCTGACATTTAAAACAACTAATGATAACTACTAGATAACTATAAATCATTTGTTGCATTCCTTAAAAACACGTTTTGCCATTTTGCATCTGTGTATGAAAGAATTTTGAGTCAAGAAATGGAAAACAAAACCACTCCCAACCCCAGGGAGAGTTGCTAATTCCTTTTGACATCACAGCAAAATCCTAATTTTAGGACCATCATCATATTCCCCTGATATGCATGTTAACTTATGTCTGTCTGACTTCTAAACTTCCTAAATATATCTGCTGAAAATAATAGATAATTGACAAAGGCTGTATTCTGGAGAGAAAATGTAAGTATATTTTGCGTGGTCTCTACAGGCTCCCTTTAAGGGATGAGTGACCAGCAAAGCATGTAACTACACCACACACACACACACACACACACTCACACGCATTTGCACTGATGACAGACAAGAGACATAATGAGGAAATAATGATCATAATTAGTATGAGGTTTTGTGCCATTAGAGGCGTAATTGATCTCGCAGTACTCTACCTGGGAGGCTAATCAGTGTACACATTGACTTTACACACACTGACATAATCTTAACAAGAAAAAAAATTTAAAATGCAAGCTCAGCCTTTTTTTTGCCCACTACTGCCTCTTTCCATTCAAGGTCACCTTGAATTTAACGTGTATATATTCTTAACCTCGGGAATTATCAAAATGTGACATGTAATCATACAATAAAGAACATTTCTTGTAGGGGATATGTCAATTATTTTAACCGATCGAGAAGTTATGTTACAGTATCATCATCACCTTTCATCTTCAAGTTCAATCAGTGTCACTGTGTCACTATTCATTAATGGTAATGCATTCACCCTTGTCAATAAAACAGATAACTGTTGGATAGATGTTTATGATTCAGCCTTTGGGTTTATCTAAACCTTGACTCACTGCTTTTTTCCCCCCTCATTTAGTCTCTAATGATTATAAATGACCTTATTAGCATATTTTGTTCATGAGAGTATAAATGACTTGCACTCCCTGGACATTAAGGTTAATGAGAGCACTTTCCATGAGGTATTAGTGAGAACTATTAAAGTTCTGGGGCAGTGTGCCACTGTGTGCCATTGTGAATGAGGTGAGTTATGGGCTTCCGCAAAGCTCTGCTTGACCTAAAAGTGTGCCGTACCTCATGCCTTTGGTGGACTGGTTTTGGAAGTTTTGTAGCAGCTGCGGCATCCCCAGCATGGCCTCAAACATCACGGCCAGGGAGCCCAGTGTCTCCACAAACACGGCAGAGTCCAGGAGCAGCAGGGTGACGACAGCACACAGCACGGTGAAGCCGAAGCAAAAGAGCAGGTAGTCCTCAAACGCGCTCCACTTCCAGAAGTAGTGAAAGTCCAAGTCTGGAGAAGGGAAAGAAAAAAGCAAACACAGAGAGACAATTGAGCTCATGTTTAATGCTTGTCATCAGTATCAGTTTACATTCTGGGAAAATTTAATTGAATATAAGTGACAGAGAAGAGAGGAAGCAGGAAGGAAAGTGATGACTGGGAAAAAGTGTGGGAGGATTAAAAGGAAAGAAAGCAGACAGAAGAGCCTTGAGAGACGATCGAATAAAGAAGCAGAGCAAGTGAGAAAGTGCGTGTGTGTGTGTGTGTGTGTGTGTGTGTGTGTGTGTGTGTGTATGTAGTGCTGAAGGGTGAAAGGGTTCTTACAGTATGCGCGGATGGAAACAAAAGAGCAAGAGTGACAGGCAGAGACTGAAGCAGCAAGGGCGTTATAGTGGGAAAAAGTCGGGAGGAGGAAAGAGCAGGAATAACAGTGTTCCATTAAAGGATGCATAGAAATTCTGCAAAGACAGCACTCCTAAATCAATACTGTGCACATGCATAAGTGAATGGAACAAAGATAAATGAGATACTCGAAAGCTTTTACATTTCTATTACTTTGGTATAGCCTGGCCTTTGGTGAGGCCTTTGGTGAGGCCAGGCTATATATTCAGAAATTTTATTACCTTTGGCTTAAAACTGTCTTTCCACTGACACCACTCTATTTATCATGTGTGGCTTTTACAAGTCACTTACAAATACCATGTTGTTCTCTGAAACTGCTACTCAACTTGAATGGAAGAGGAGGCCAGTGCCAGAGTATAAAAGTCAGAGTATGACTTTGAATTTGGCAAACATTAAAGAGTCACAGCTGATCCAACAACCTAAAACAATGTCTCTCATATCGGCTTTACAATGACTGAGTTGACGGCTCGGAGCCTGGTTCAGGAGCTGCCAAGAAAAGCTCATGATGGGAAACATTAGGCCCTCTACATCTACATTCACCATCAGCCATCTCCTCAATGGACCATAATGTGAGATGATCGACAATCTCTCATTGCATATGTATGACCATGGAGCTGTAAAAAAACCCAGCTGACATCAGCTAAAGGGGATTGATGGCTAAATAAGAGCACATTAGTTAGGGTGGGGACTCAAGTGTGACGCTTCATCCTGCGCAACAACCGACTTCAACATGTGCTGCTGTTACCTCTCACACTGACTGAATAGGCTGCACCTATTCATATGTGTCTCCTTGAAATTCTCTTTAAAGAGAGACAAATGTTGACAGCAGAGACTGATGAGAAAAATCTTCTCAGTGTGGCAGTTTTAGAGATTGAAAACATTTTCTTTGGTGATAAAATCTGTTGATTACTTTCCTTCTGATAAACGGTTTGATCTATAAAGTGTTAGAAAATAGGGCACCCTGACTTTTTAAACATTTGTCTTTTCTCTCTTTTTCACTTGTGCACTGCTTTTTTTTCTCCTTTTGTTTCTGTGCTTACTGAATGTAAAAAAACGATCATTACATTGAAAAGGTGGAACCAGAAAATGTTAGGTACCTTTCATGATAAATTACCTAAAGGATTATTCAAAATGGTTTTTAATCTTTTGTCTATCAGCTCATCAATAAGGGTTTGGGTTAGTCTTATAAAGTGTGTTGTACACTTGTGCTCAAACTGGTTAATTAAAAATTAATCAAAATCAAATTTTGAAAACCAATTGGAAGAAAAAAAAAGAAAAAAAAAAAGGATTTGGATGCAACACAAGCGAACATCAGCAACTAAATCAGTTTGACTGCATTTTTTTCCCTATGAATGTCCCACTGGCCACAAGCAACGCCGTGTGATGCTGCACGCTGTTTTAAGCTGAACTTTTGTCAGACGCCCTGTTTCTATTTTATTCCTGACACTTGTGTTGAAAGTGCAGCTATGGACGAAGGACAGATGATTAACAAAGCTAAATTGAAGAGTTATCCAGTGAGATATCTCCTCATTCAACTACAAAAACCTGAATAAGGTTGCAGCTGGTTGGAGGGAGATCGCCAGAGGGCTGAACTCTTTTAAGTATAGTTATATGGGATGCTCAGCAGAGCATACTTGTGAGCTAGTTTTACAAAGTGGAGGTGTTGGTATGGTTGGTATCTATACTCCCGATGCTAATGTGTTGGCGGCACGGTAGTACCTCACAGCAAGAGGGTTCCTGGTTCGGGGGAGCCCTTCTGTGTGGAGTTTGCATGTTCACTCTGTGTCGGTGTGGGTTTTGTCGCAGTACTCCAGCTTCCTCCCACAGTCCAAAGACATGCAGGCTAACTGGTGACTAAATTGTCTGTAGGTGTGAATGTGGGCGTGAATGGTTGTCTGTCTCTATGTGTCAGCCCTGTGATAGTCTGGTGACCTGTCCAGGCTGTACCCCACCTCTTGCCCAGTGTCAGCTGGGAAAGGCTCCAGCCCCCGCGTGACCCCCAACAGTATAAGCGGTTATGGAAAATGAATGACAGTATTATGAATATGAATAGTAAGTAGAAGACAGTTATGTTCTCCAGTGTGCTACACTTGGTAATTGATACCAATGTCCCTTGATAAATTGTTTGCTGTCAGTTTGAAACAGTCGGTAACAGTTGTAGCAGTAGTCAGAGAGGAGCTAGCAAGTTCAGAGTTTGTCAGAGTTTGACAGGTGTAATAATTTCGGAAAACTATAATGTTATGCCCCTGCCTTTGTTTGCGTGACATAATAGAATTACGTCTGCTGTAATGCGAGGCGGCACAATAGCTGGATGCTCGCTTGCTGTTAGGACACAGTGATAAATGTCTGCATCTTTTCTGAAAGTGTTATTATTGTCAAATGAACAAACTGATTATTAATTTAACGATAATTTAAAAAAAAAAAAAAAGAAATAGTAAGTTAGGTTATAAATCCTGTCAATTTCCAGAGGTACTTACAGATATAGTAAAAAATCTCATTAACCATCAGGTGGAATAAAAATTCTAAAGTATGTCTACTTCTGAGAAGACTGCAACTGTACTGGCCTTCCAATGAGTGCACTGGAGACCCGGTATATATTTCTGCCTACTTTTTCATTGTAGTCAGTCCCGGCATCGCTCTCTAGAGGAGCGATTTCAGTTTGAAGTGCTGCTCTGCCCGTAGCCATTTATATTATCTCACATACTGTGCATAGATGGTCACACTAAGTATTCAGTGCACACACACACCACGCGCATGTACGCAAGACACACACACACACACACACACACACACACACACCAAACGCCAGGCTGGTACATTTCCCATTCCACTCCAGTGAGCTGCATCTTGATGTTGCATCCTGGGACAGACAAAGTGAGACATCTTGCAGCGAGTACAGCGTGGCATGTTTGTGGCAAACAGCGAACGTGATTAATGGCTTTATTACCGCGAGCCACAAAAGACACCCACAGCTGACAACACACACGTGAGGTGGGAGAGGAGAGCGATACAACATAACACACACGTTTCTCCGCTCTCTCCAGCGAACATGTTACTTGACAAATATCGACTTTCGGGGCATGACATATGTCTGTCCTCACAAACTGTGACATTGACAGAAACCAAAGAGCTGGAGACAGAGAACCTGGCACATTTCAGCTCTTATTCACAAGTTTCTCCACTCTTGGCACCCCTTTTACTTCAACACAACATCAAACCTGAGTCATTGCAGGCACTGGTGGCTGGCGGAGGGAGACTTGAGAGTCAGGAGGGGCTTAGAGGCTGCCCTTTATCTACAACAAAAACGTCCTTTCATTTCCTTTTGAATGAGGCCAAGGTGGTGAAGTATAAACATGCTGACAGCAGCAACAATAAGACCAGTGGTATTTCAAAACTACTGTCAACTTTTCAGAGTACAAAGCCTCCCGCTGAGCTACTCATATTTTCATCTCTCGATTTTTAATTCAGCTTCCCACTTTCTCTCCCCGTGCTTATCGGCAGCACACACACATCCACAAAAACGCTCTTCTCTTGTCCTCTTACCAAGCAATCTACTCTATTTACATACAGAAAGCAACACACCCACTTCCTCTCCTCTTATCCCTGCTCCCTCTCCCTCTCTGTCCCATTTCATCTCCCACTTATACAGCCTTGTATGTTTACCTGCATAATCAAATTGGCTGGAAGAGTATAATGAAGAAAGAAAGCTATGCATCATTTATGGAGTCATCGCTTTTATTTGTTCTCCTATATCATGCATCATACCCGGTGTTCTTTCCCTGACCAGCTTCCTTCCTTCCTGGCACTGTTTTAATCATCTTCTCTTTCACCCACCTCGCTGACAAAAAAGTGTCTTCACTTCACAAACACACACACACACACAACACACATCTCTTCTGTGGCTGCTGTCCCGTCACACCAGGACAGGACAGGTGGCCTGCCCTTTTCTAAACAGCATCCTCCTGTCTGGTGTGTGTCGAGGCCAAAGCTGCACTTCAAAGACCCCGGAGACTCTGTAGTGCAAGGAGGAGGCGAGACGCTCCGTCTTCACACAGTCTCTTTGTTTACACAGGGCCCATTCAAGATCAAACAATTCAATTACTAAAACGTGCAAGGAAGCAGCCGCAAGGATGTCAATACCTGTGTATGAAGTTTCTCAGGGAAGATGTGAAGTGTGAAGGATAAGTCAATCAATTCATGTACGTGTGTCTGTTCAGGCATGAGTCTGCAGTTGTGACGGCCTTAGCAGGTCTATTTGGGCTGTAGCATTATTGAGATTTTGTTTCAGCATTGTTAGAACTTACGAGCACTCTCACACGAGCAGCATGGGGAGGCAGAGGATAATTAGAGATGGAGGGTGAGTGAGTCAGAAAGAGGGAGGGAGAGTAGCTTCGAGTCAGTCAAGTAGATGCATGGAGGCGAAACTCATGGTATTTCCCATCAGGCCGAGCAGAGAAAGCACAGTACGGCGCTGAGAGTAGAGAGACAGAGACGAGGATAGACACTGACAGCTAGAGGGCTTCGAGATATGCTGACTCAGCGCTGTCAGTCTGCGAGCAGAACGACTTGGCTCTGTGGAGTCAATGTATTTTAAGATGTGTGAAAGTTGC